CTCTCTCTCTCTCTGATATGCGTCCAGTTCAGGGAAAATAATAAAACAAGGTAAAATCTATCACACAGGATTCAAAACTAAAGAGCAAATAATGTGCTAATACTGTAAGTAGGTAAAATCTCTCACATTAGTACAACTGGAGGGTTATAGGTGGAAGAAACTGAATTTGTTCACGAAAAAATACCATGTGCTAGGACACACAATCATATCTTGAAAATCATATTTTGATTAGTTTTTACCTCTTGCAAAATATTGTTGTAGTGATTCGGATCTAATATTCAAAATCTATGGTGATTACAAGCAAACTAGAAAGAGGATCATAATAGATATTCTCTTCATTCCAATGAATAAGGCGCACATGATTGTAAAATTGAACTTTGATCATAAATTAAACCAACCAAATGTGGGTTATGTGTGACATAATTTATACCCTTGAATTCATAACTGAAAGAAAAATTTCTCATTAATACATCGTCTTTCCGAGGCGGTCACGAAAGGCCATGTAAGGAGGTTTGATCGACCAACAATGACATTCAGTTGCATGATGGTAGGTCCTTTTGCGGCCATTACGCACAACCATGCTGTACCTATAACTTCGTGATGCGCAACTTTTAGGGAGGACCGTGTCCGATGGATTTTTGCTCATGATTAATACCTCCAAAGGTACTGTGGCCATCAATTCCTGGCATGGCCGCATCACTAAATAATTCTTCGAGCGCTTGCTTTTTTTCTAGCGCTTGTCCTTGTTTCTGATCCATATTTAGCACCTCTTGTTAGCACCTACAATGAAAGAAAGCGCTCAGATTGTCTTTTAATTTCTGAAATACATCTTTCCTCTGTAAGCAGCTTCGACAGTTGTAGATGCACTTACCCGATTGGTGCAAGACAGCCCTTGAGAGAGCCCCAAGCAACTTTTATTTCACAAATTTCACTTCGAATTTGTTAAAAAATAACTACAACTGGTCGGAAATTCCTTTTGGTTCTCGAGCTCACCTGCACATGGAATCTGGACCATACTCTCCCCTCGAGATGCGGATTGCACCGTGTATTTCTTTCGACAGTTCAAATGCCACGGTGCTAGTGGCGCATCCACGGAAACCACCCGCTAATTGACGAGTGCACTGTTGGGAGCATCGTACCCCACTGCAACATACGTATCCACATATTAAATCGACTTTCTACCAAACAGTACCTGCCACCAAAACAGCCAGGAACAGATCCCAATGCCCTCATGTACAATCCAGATATTGGGACCATTTGTGCTCGAGCACCAAATCCCCACTCCCCTGCTTTTAGTGGCCATATCCCCTGCAACCAGCAGAACAGAAATCACATCAGCATTCACATGTATTCACATCAACATTCCATTATGTTCAGAAGATACAACATTCAATCAAAATTCGTCACTCACTACTGCAGGTCACACCACAGGTAACTCTGGATGGCACCCCTCACTAGTCCAACGTCGATGGTGTATACCCAATTAGGCCCGTCACTAGTGAGTTCGTAGGGATTAGAAAACATATTTCATAGATTATCAATTAAATGCATCATTACAGCTTTACAACCGCCATACCTCTTGTACTCCTCCCAAGGGTGTGGCATTTGATCACTCCAGGTATCAGCCTCCTGCCCCAACAATATCGTCGTCAGCGTCATTGTCCTTCTTCCTGGCCTCGACAACCTCCCCCTCCTTGTCCTCAGCCTCTAGATCCATGAGACGGCGTCAATGTCCCCCATTTAAATCCAACTTCCTTTGGGCTCAAATCTGGACCAAATAGCAGGGATTTCCCTAATCTGTAACTCAGGCCATATACTTCTAGGCCAATCTGAGAGGTATCACAATCCGAGGCTACCCGGCCTTCATTGAAACAGTAGGGATGAGGCTTTGGAGTAGTTACCTTTACTCGGTGAAAAATATATCAAGGCCATATGCATATCAAGGGATGTATATGTATCAATGATACACCACCTTGAATTTTATTTCACCCTCTTAATGATGCATCGTTCAGACGACCCAAATAAACAAAAAAAAAGATGGAAATTTACACACCGACACATATAGATTTTCGCTTGTGAGGTCTCCAATCCTTTTTTCAATACTTTGGGACTAATCATCTTTGAACACTAGCTAAGACAGTAGTCCCACTAATCACTCGCCATTAACACCAAAACCAAATTAGGGGCTAAGATGTCCTTTCAACTTCGCAATTCGCATCCCCCGATGCAATTCATCTGATGCACACGTCTCTTTGTGTTAACACAACATAGCATGCCCAAGGTTAACCTTGACAATAAGGATACAATATATACATATATTCGAGGGGAGCGTTTTGGCCCACAAGCTCACATGCTCCTGCTATTTGTAACATTGATTAGAGGATGGCCACGTGATCCAAATTCAGTTTTAAGGAAATACAACTTATACAAAGTAATACATCATCTCCTACCAATCTCGAGGATGACTCACGGTTACAGATATCATGAGCATCTGAACTCGGCTCCAAACTGAATATCCACATATATATATCCTTGAATCATTCAAAGATAGAGTTACCACAATCAATATTAGCATCTCATATGATCGTCAAATGTTGGGGGAGCTCATGTAATTCAAAAGGCAGGGATGTTGCTAAATAATTACTTCTATGAACCTGTAGCCTCAGAAGCAGATTATTCAAGCTAAATGTTGAGAGTAGAATACAGTTGTTTTTGAGGCACCTAATAACATTTGATCTAAACAAGGCCTCTGGAGATCAACATTTGTAACATTGATCTAAACAAGGTCTTTTCCTCCCCCCTTCGTTGTCTCCTATGAATCTAAAGGGAAAATGTATTCAATTTGAAGTTTAATTAGAAATTTAGATCAATTCACCTGTCGTTAGGTGGTCCATGATAAAGAATGAAAAACCTAAGTACAATCATTAGGACACTAAATTAGGTGGTCCATGTGCACTTTTTAGGTAGCTCGGTGTGACATTAAATACCTTGCTGTAACTTTGTCAGTTCAAGGTCATATTTGTGCCGAAAGGTTCAAAATCTCACATTCCTTGTTCAGAGAACATGTCGATCAAATTGGCTTCTAAATTTGTGATAGGTTCTTTAGGGTCCAAACAATTCACCCATCTAGAACAAACCAATAAAAATACTTTGAAGTTAATTACACCAAAGAATTATGAATAGCAAGACTAAGTAAACGGTAGTTGTGCAAAAG